AAATAAAGAATGATGCTAAGATAGGTCATCCTTTTGTTCACATTTTAGTAAGAATTTAAACTTTAAACTTGACCTTTTTATAAGCTAAGGACATTATGCTTTATTTATAATATTTCTTAATTGCATCAATGATAATTTTAAAGCTAAACATAGGATTTGATTGTGAATTTAATTCGATTTTAATAATGAAAATTTTCAAAAAATTTGATTCACATTTATTCTTTAATTTAAATATTCAAAAATTTTAAAAAATCCAAAGTTTTTTTTCGCCATTTTTTCTTACATTCTGAAATTTAAATTTTTGCTTCACTTAATTATCTGTTTCATTGCAACGCATTTATGATAAATTATTTACTTTGGTTTTCTATGCAAATTCATTCCAAGATTAGCAAGCCAAACATTTTCCTTATCTTTCGACATTACAGGATCTACTGCTGAAACTAAACCACCGGAACCTTGCTTAATTTCCCATTCGCCTGTTTTTTCACGTTTCAAGCTAACTGGTGGTGCGTTAGAAACGTTGATTACACGTTGCTGAAGAAAAAAGAAAAAAAAAGATTGTATAAATTTGGAAATAACACAAATATAATGCCTTTTGAATAACAAAAATAATGCATCTTTTCATGAAACATAAAAAGAACCATCCTCTAAAGCTAAAGTTTATAGCAAATATTAAAATTAATACCTGAAAATGTGTACTAGCTAAGCCTCCACTTGCAATTACTTCCTTTGATAGTTCCCGTGAATTTACGCTACTCTCGGATGGTCCACGTGAAATTGATCGACGTAATCGTCGTAATTTTTCGGCTAAAAAATTTTCATTTTTACATCAATTTAAAAGCAAAAAAAAAAACAATATAATAGTGAATTTGAAATTAGCCAAAAATATGATTGAGAAAATATTCCAACTCTTTCTGTCTATGAAAGATTTATTTTGTAATCACAACAAGATATAATATATAATCTTAATTAATTTAGGGACTTAAGAATAAAAAATAAATAATTAAATATTTAATAAAGCAACTGAAATAAAAAAAAACTAAGTAGGTTGTAAAAATAAATTAAAATAATAAAATTTTAAGGTGAAAATGAAATCTACAAACAAAATTTATGAAATTATTTAAAATTCAAACAATATGAAACAGTTCGTGAGCGGCCCGTAGTTATACTGTTATTGCTTTTGCCACTAGATTGAGAAGAGATCGAATCCGTGGAAGAAGATCTGCTGGATCTTGATGAACCTTCTCGGCTAATACTTAATCGTCGTTGTAAATGATGGAATCGTTCACCAAACCGTTTTGCATGAACACCAAGTAATGATTTACGAACACCTGGTACTGAAGTGTATAGTTCCCTGGAAAATGTTAGGTAATTACAATCTTAGTAAATTATAAAATGATCAAAATAATAACAAAGATGTTACTGTTAACAGTATAATAGTTATTGAAATCATAATAAATTGTAATCATTAGTCTGATAACGTCAAGAGTATTAGTGATAATAATAATAATAATAATAATAATAATAATAATAATAATAATAATAATAATAATAATAATAATAATAATAATAATAATAATAATAATAATAATAATAATAATAATAATAATAATAATAATAATAATA